AAAGACTTCTCCAACTAGTGAATTATGCCAATTTAAGAGAACCGTCTTATCTCTGTGATGACATCTATGGTGAGAGTGAGACAGCGGAGTGAGAGACCCACAGCTGCGGTCTCTATCTACTTAATTGGGGTTGGAGTTAAGTGTCTTCTGCTGTGTCCTCATCTTGCCCTTTGAGGTATCTCTGGCCTCACAGGCCACTACAGGCCTCAGCCAGGACCTGTGATTCATAGAAGTTCACTTACTATGTATGAATCAGCTCCCATTGCCAGGCAAGGGGCCGAGGCCTAGGACAGACTCACAGATAAACGTAGAAAGCCACTTAACTTTAAATCCTGCTCAGAGCCACTTTGTAGTGGTTGCCATTAAGTTTGCACATCAGAATAACAAAATACTTGATTTTTGTGCCTCAGTTTAACTCATCTTTTTAAAATTTTTTTTTCTTTTCAGGGAAATCAATGTACTAAAAATTTATCATCTCAACCTCATAATTTTCTTTTTCTATTATATCCTCATCCACATACATCAGGTTTTTCATCTTAAAGGAAAGAGTATTTTATTAGATGGTTGTGAGAAATAAATTGAAATATGAGGTGATTAAAATATACAGTGATTTTAAATTTTAAAAATGTATTACAATAATACATATTGCCATTAATCATCTTAAAATATTTCCCTTCATTTCAAACATAGTTATCCTATCACTATTGCCACTTCCTGAACCAGTTCTGAAGCCTTCTTCATGGCTCTACAGGGTGCAATCAAAAATGAAATGAGTGCCAGGTGTGGTGCTGCATACCTGTAATCCCAGCATGAAGGAGGCTGAGGCTGGAGGATTTCTGAGAGTTTGAGCCCATCCTGGGTTACATTGTGAGTTCAAAGTCAGCCAGCATTGCATAGTAAACCATGTCTTTAAAAAAATCAATGCAATGAATGCTGCTGCCAAGGGTCACCCCACAGAAAGGCAGCCTCTTAATCATAACTCTGTGTCCTCATCCACTTTATTCACCAGACCTGGCACTGTCCAACTTCTAGCTCTTCCCCACAGTCAAAATGACCATGAAAGCTGAGCCAGTTCAGGATGTTAAGGTGACCGTGATATCACAATTAAATATATTCACAAGGGAGGATTCCCAGAACTGCTTCAGAAAACTGTAAGAACAATGGGATAAATGTGTTAGAAATGAGAAGTATTTTGAGGGTTATTCATGGCAATATGTCTTCTACTGTAAACTTTTTTTAAATTTATACACCTAGCTTGCTGTATCTTTACAATGTTTTTGGTCTCTCCTCTTTGTCTGTTTTTCTGTTGAATTTCTTCTCTTTTCCTTTTCTTTCTGTTTCATCTCTTTCCTCATTCCTGTCTTAAATCTACCACAGGACTTACAGGTTTGGAACTAAAGTTAGCACACTGAGGATCAGTGGAAGTAGTGTATTCATTCAATATCCGCCCCTCACTGAACTTAGAATAGGAACCCACGGCACATCTTTGCATTTGTTCTTCTTTATAATTTGATTTCTTTAACCCATCAAATTATTGCCATCATTATCTGCACCTTACAGGTGAAAAAGTGAGGCCTACACAGGTTCAGGGACTTGCTCACTGCCCCCACGGGACCCAACATGCTCTCCACGGCAGGTGAGGGCTTTCTGATTCCATGGTTCATGTTTAGAGTCAAGGAGTGGCTGCTTCTCAAGAGATGCAGCCTGGACCTCTTGCCCAGTTGTGTTTAATTCATGTTGACCTGAACTTTCTGGATTTGAAAACCTTGCAGAGCTGCGGAGTGGCCAGCCGTCTCAGAGGGGATGAAAGCTATGAGGCCCACGCATCGGTGGAGAAGGAAGTGCTGTTTCCTGCAGTCTGCCTTGTATTAATTTCTGCCTTAACACAATACCACAAATTGGGGCTTCCAACAGCAGAAGTTTGTTCTGTCATAGCACTGGAGAGAAGGTGATACCAGAGTTGAAATCAAAGTATGACAGGTGTGTTTTCTTCTCTGGAGGCTCTAAGGGATAAGCCATGGCACATCTTTCCCCAGCTTCTGGTGGCTCCAACAAGTCCCTAGCGTTCACTGGCTGTCATCTGTGTCACTCCAGTCACTACATTCAAGGACACATGACCTCGTATCTCCAATCTCCTTCCTCACATGAGAAAACCAGACATTGGATTTAGCAGTCACCCTAATCCAATGTGACCTCACCTTCCTTTTCAACTTTGAGTTTTGGAGTATTATAATCTTAGATGCATGGAAAACTGCAAAAGTGGAACATAGAACAGAGAGGTATGGTGTGACCTCCACCCAGTTTCTCCTAAATTGAGACCCTAATGTTGGTACAATATGTGTGTATAGTCTACATCATTTTTATCACATATTTAGATGCATGCGATTAAGATACAGAATTATTCCACGACTTCAAAGGTCTCCCATGAGCTCATTTATAGTCATATTCACTCTCCTTTCTCCACTATTCCCACCCCTGGGGACCAGTAATCTGTCTTCGCTCTCTATAATTTTCATTTCAAAATATCCATAGAAGCAAGCACAGGGTGTATGATCCTGCGAGGTTGGATTTTTTCACTGAGTACAATACCCAAGACAATTATCTGAAAGGTTGCATGAATCCTTACTTCATTCTTGAATACTGCTTCACAGATTCCATGTTATGCACATATCACAAATTTGTTTGACCAGCTACGTATGGAGGGACATGTTCTTGTCTCCTTTCTTTTTAGCTATGAAAATAGAGCTGCTGAAACAATCATGTATAGGTTTTTGTATGGACATAAATTTTCATTTGTTGGGGCTACATGGCTACAAGTGCAGTTTCTAGGACTTTTGGCAGATATATTTTAATTTTTCTAGCAATAAACCATGTATTCTCAAGAGCTGTATTATCATTTCACATTCCCACCATCAAGGCACGAGCAATCCAATTTCACTGCCTCCTTCCCAGCACTTCAGTATGATCCCACTTTGACTTAATTAAACCCACAAAGACCCATTTTCTACATAAGGTCATATTTTTGGAGAACCTGGAGTTAGGAGCTGAACATGTCCTTTTGAAAGACACTGTTCAACCTTTGCTTGGGCCCTAGTGGATCTAGCTTCAGAGTCTCACTTCGCAAGAGGCTTGCTTCAGATTTATAGCCAGATTGGAGATGCCTTTGGCGTTCCATTTGGCACGCAAAGATGGGTGAACAAGTTCATCTCATTTGAAGGGACATTACTGAGACTTTGTAAACTCTTCAGACTTCCAAAGTTTTGATAATAACAAATATTCCTGAGATTCAGGAAGGCAGCCTGCCTCCCTATCCAGTTTTTCAGTGAATTTCCCCCTCAGTGCTCCAGTACTGACAAAACAAAAAAGAAAAGAGTAGGAAAACTGGATTATAAATTAACAAGGGGAGTTGTTTCTGCATGTCCTTCAGAGTATAGGCTGAGAAAGGTGTGTGGTAAGTGTGTGTTGGGTGCATGAGTGGAACAGGCCACCCCAGGGGCCCACACAGAAGAGAGGAGGAGACTTGGTGTTAAACATGCCTCACCCCAATTCCCAAATATTATCTGTCACACAGTGGTTTCCACTGCCTGGACAAGGTTACTTCTGTCCTTTTTCTCTTTGCTGAAGGGATGCTCCATTCTATTTTTATATATGTGCCTAACTAGGAGGATGGAGAAGGAGACCCCAGGGAGGCAGCAGGCTTTCTGATCCTCATTTTGTGCTGCACCTGGAGCTTTAGAAGGCAGAACGTATAAGGCTCAAAGTGGAGGTTGGGTCCGGGGGACCCACTTATCAGTCACCTGGCCTTGACCTTTGACTCTTTCTTCTCTATAAACTGGGTATAACACACTTTTATATGAACTCATTTGGAAGTAGTATAAGACACATACAGACATGTACAGAAAAGTGCACAGATGCTAATTGTACAACTGAAGTTGTTTTCGCAGAGTGACATGTCCCTCACCGAAGGACAGTGTTATCAAAACACGAGATGCCCTGTCTGGTCCCCTCCCAGGGCTAACTCACCCCATCATCCCCACCATACCTCACCTCCTTCCCTATCTCTGATTTTACTTTTGCCTTCTGTTTAACTTTATATGAATGAAAACATAAGAATTTTTCTTTTGTGTGTTTCTTTGCTTATGTTTATGGGAGTCACTTCTGCCATTAGAGGTACTTGTAGTTTGTAATTCTCCTTGCTAAAAAGTAGCTCAGTTGTAAATATACCATAATTTAAAGACCTCTCCTGCTATTAATAAACACTTTGGTATTTCCAGTTTTCAGCTTTATAAGTGAACACTCTTGAACATTATTGCATATTTTTTCTTTTGAGAACAGGGACACTTAGTCACTTAGGAGTGGGGTTTATGGGTGTAAAAAATGTACATCTTTTAGCTTTATAGCTTTTACTGCCCAACGTTTTAGTGAATATATTTAACCTTACAGTTTAGTGAGAATGAAAATAGATTGTAGAAAACACTTGGTATCATCTTTGTCAGATAAGAATCATTCCTCAATGCACGTTTAAAAATATAATGAAGGCACAATATTCCATCAGGTCCAGTACTGTGCTGGACTTAGACAATTCCCTATTGCATGTCCATGGATTGTTTTCATTGTTCTGTTATTGTATATCATATTGCAATGAGTGACTCTCCTAGCTGATTTCTTCTTTTGAAAAATTTGCTGTGTTAGGTTCTCAGGGTAGGCTGAATTGGATCAAAGGACATGTGACTGTCACTGTTAAAAACTGTGAAGTATCCTAAGGAAGGGAAAACAAGGAAGAAAGCCTTTCCTACTATGGCCCAGGGGAGGGATATGTCAGTAGGTGGCGGGTGGTGTCGAAGAGGAGTGTCTTGTGGCAGTAGGGTAGGGTAGAATGGAGAATGATTTCTATAAATAGTGCTGCATTTTAAGACAAATAAATGTATCTAATCCCTTAGATAAGAAATGAGGTAATAGTAAAAGCAATGCATAACCTTAAAAAATGAATCAGGAGAAGGTTCTCAGGTGCAAAGATTCACTTTATTGATTGTTTCCCCCAAGAATCAGCATGATTAAAGCCAAGGGGGAGGGGAGGGCGAGTGGAGAGCAGGCTGGAGGAGGACTGTGAGGGGTGGGTCTCTCTGGAAAAGGGCTGGGGATCTGAGGAGGAAGCTCCAGGCTGGGTGGGCCTGAGGGGCAGGCAGTGGTGCTGCTGTGGGACCTCTGGTTCTAGCACTCGCTCCTGTTGATGGTCTTGGCAGCGGGTGAGGTCAGGCCAGCGTGGGAGACCTCGCAGGTGTACCTCTCATGCTGATTGTACTCTGAAGCCGTCAGCGCCAGGGTGCTACTGAGGCTGTAGGTGTTGTCCTTGCTGTCCTGATCTGTGTAACTGTTCAGGATGCCTTGTGAGCGTTCAGAGCCATCCACCTTCCACTTGACGGTGATGTCTCTTGGATAGAAGCTATTAATGAAGCACACAACTGAGGCACTTCCAGCTGTCACCTCCTCAGATGATGGAGGGAAGAGGGAGATAGTTGGCTTCTGCACACTCCCTGAGGAAGGAAGCACAGGGGGTAGGTTGAAATAACCATGTAGGCATCCTCTTGGCTGGTTGGAGACAGACACACAGAACAGGACACTTATCATGCACAGCAGCACAGCAAGGCTAGGAAGCACATGGAGTTCTTTCCTAATTCCTCTCCCCCTAAAAGTTCTAAATTGTGCTTGTACTCTTTGTAGTCATTTTGAGACCTCCTGGCCTGCTTTTCTGAAGTCACTTTTCTTTCCCGCCATCTGTGATGGCTCACTGCTTCAGGCAAAGAAAACAGGCTCTCTAGAGCTTAGTCATCAACACAGGTCCTGACTCTTCTATACAAGAGAAGATAAGGCAGCAGAAGGTGGGGTATCCTTCCTATTCCTCCCCCAGTGTCTGTGCTGTAAAGTCAGGCTCCCCTGGGCTCCTCCTGGCATAGTGGGGACAGCTCCAATCTCTGCATCTGTGCCTGGTGGGCGTCAGCCCCTTTCTCTCTGGAGAGACAGACCTCTGGTCTCTAGGCCAGCAGCTCTCCTGCTGCTCATAAGGTCCTGAAAGCAAGTCTCAGCTCGGCCTGATTGCCTGTGACCACAGGGGGAAATTTTTAGCCAGGCCAGAAGGGTCAACTGTAACCTCAGCCACCTGTCTGGGGGGAACTGGCTAGCTTCACTTCTGACCTTGAGCAGCTGCCAGCTGGCCTCCTAGAAATTCCCCTCTGCGAGGAAGCAATCCCTCAGGTGGGAGAACAGTAATTAAAATAAAAAATCAAGCATCCTTTGTTGGGAGAAGTCAATAGTACACGAATAAGTTTTAAAAAATAAACCCAACCTCAGGCTTAAACTAGAAGCTCAACATAATATACTACATTTTTGTCTTTGACATTTTTGTTCTCTTTAAACCTGTGTCACCAATTTTTCCTAAATAATTATATAAATTAAGCATTACACTAAAATTATGTGAACTCTGGAAAAAAAGCAGAGAAAAACATTCTCTGAAGTTCCTCCTGTGTGGGCGAATTCTTGATAGCTTTGAATTTTCCATCTGGAAATTATGGAAATTATTTCAAGCTATCTCATTAGCTTTTAAGAGTTTAAGATTCTTTAAAGGAATTTTTAAAAGACCCTGAAATAGTTTTAAAGTAACATAAAACAGTTAAATAGTTCTAAAAATGGTTTCACAAGAATTTTAGAAGGTCCTAAAATAGTATTGGCAAGTTGTTTAGACCAAAATAATCCTTCTCAAGTATCAGTTTTGAAACCAAGGAGAGGTAAGAAACCTCCTACAACAGAAACAAATTATTAAGCTAGTTAAGATATATGCAGTTAAATAACAAGATTATACATTTTCTCATAGAATTAGAGTATTAAAAAATATATTTATATTGTTTTCATTAACCACATTTATATATGATTAGATATTCTTTAGAATTAAACATAATCCTTCCCAAACCATTAAATTTTTGAAGATTAAAAAACATGTTACTTTTTCTCAGTTACTATGCCATAGTGCTATTTGATATGAATTTCTAAATGGATTGACCAAAACCTGAGTGGCTGTTACTGGCATAAAATTCAATTTCTGCTGGTATAAATTTTATCTTAAAGAGTTAGAGATAGTACATTTCTTTCTTTTACTATCGAAATTTTATTATTTAGGTGAACTTGATAAAATGATGTTATGTCACTAAAATTAATTTTCTGTTATTTATCGTCCCTTATTGGAAATTTTCCTCAAAGGGTATAATAAAAATGTGAATTTGATTTCTGAAATCTTTAATAAATAAGTTTCGTCCTGGTTTTCCCCTGCTGGCACAGGGGCTGCCACGGGCCTATTCTCTTTGCGTTAGTGGCATTGTTTGTATCACTGTGTACGCGGACAGTCAGCCGCTGCACCGTTACGCAGGCTAAGGCGGGTTTGCCATGGCCTTTAGCGGCCAGGCGACTGTCACAGAGGCGCGGTGGCACTGCCAGCAGCGTCACTGAGTCATGGCAAAGACTGCCATGTGGTCAACGGACCGCGCTAGCGGTGCCGCAGCCTTCTTGGCGGTATAAAAAATCATAACTAATAACTGGGCTAAGTACAAGAACATCATCTTTAACATTCTTTCCTACAAGCCTGCAAGCCCTCTAAAAATATAACTATGTACTTTCTTTTATCAAAAACAAGTTTCTTGGAAATCAAGCTTTTCCTGTGAAAGACTTTACCTTATCGTAGAAATTAGATTTTTAAAAAGAACTTATCTATGAACACCCTATTCTTACAGAATCTCTCCTTTTGACCATTTATCACTCATTTTAGATTCTAAAAACGACATGGCCGCTGAGCATTAGTAAGCCATCTCTTTTATATGGCAAAGAGCTACACTTTTCTCACTTTTTACTGATTTTTTTTTAGAGCCTGCTGTTACTTTTAAACATTGTCTTATAAAATGACCAGGCAAAAGAGAAAACAGGCTAACAAACACATCTCTCAACTTTTCTGTATCATTTAAAATAAATGAAATCAACACATTTTTGGTAAAACTCAATAAAAATGAATTTACTTTTGTCTTTGCAGTTCCAAGTTCCCTTTTCTTCTACCCCATGTAGATATATTTTTCTAATCATTCAGTTTAACTCAGTTTAATCTTTTTGTCTCCAAATTCATTTTTGGGGCTGAGTCTAACTTTTGGCCTTGATAACAAACTGAAGTGCCTTTATTTACCCATCTCCATAAAACTTCTACTTAAGACTCTAAAAGTCAGTACGCCTGGCAATTTAGACCTAAATTTCAGAATACAACACAGAAAAGTTACCTACCTTTTGGCTCCAGCCTTGCCGTACTGCTGAAGGGGAGCCACAGTACCAACTGCCTTTCCCCTCAAAGCTCTTTTCCTTTGCTAATCTCACTTCACTGATAAACAGAGGAAATCTGGCAACTGAGATGCCCCCTTCTACTGACTGATACTTTTCTCTCCTTTGTGATGAGCAGATTCTTCAGCCCTTCTATCTATCTCATTTGATTTTTGGGAAAAAACCCCTTCTCTCCAGAATTGACCTTAACTCACACCCTAAACATAAAATCCTCCAAATTTTATAACTCCGTAAGAAAAAGGATGAAGAAAATGCACTTACGTTTGATTTCCAAGCGGGTCCCTCCTCCGAACGTGAGTCACAGTGATCCCTCTAACATTTGCCCCTCAACAAAAACCTTTCCTTGTGGCTGGTCAGGCCAGGCAGGTCAATTCAGATAAAAACAGCCATTTCTTTCCCAGGCTCCCCACACCTCTTATTCTCCTCACAAACTTAACACTCTTTTTGTTCAGATTTTAAACTGGTTATTTTCTGGCATTCTACTTATTGTTGGGTCACCAGGAATGGTTCATTTGACCAAAAATAACCACTAACTCACACAGATGGCTCAACAGGATTAAAAACTCACATAATTGAGTAAAAAGTGTACTTACGTTTGATTTCCAGCTTGGTCCCTCCGCCAAAAGTGAATCACAGTGATTCCTTCTAATGTCTCCCTTTACAAAAAACCTCCCTAGGATACCACAAGCCTCCTTCTCCAACTTAGTAATTTTGCTTTAAAAATCACAAGAACTGGCCACAGGTAGCCGCCTGTGGAGCCATTTCCCCCCTCCCAGTATCTAATCTGGGAATGAAATTTGTAATATCCCTGATATCAAACTAACATCAACCTAACCAGGAAACACAAAAAAGCAATGAAAATCAAATCAATCTGACAGAAACAGTAAAGAATCAGTTGGAAAAGATACTTACGTTTGATTTCCAGCTTGGTCCCTCCACCAAAAGTGTTTCACAGTGATTCCTTCTAATGTCTCCCTTTACAAAAAACCTCCCTAGGAGGCCACAAGCCTCCTTCTCCAACTTAGTAATTTTGCTTTAAAAATCACAAGAACTGGCCACAGGCAGCCTCCTGTGGAGCCATTTCCCCCCTCCCAGTATCTAATCTGGGAATGAAATATCCCTGATATCAAACTAACATCAACCTAACCAAGAAACACAAAAAAAGCAATGAAAATCAAATCAATCCGACAGAAACAGTAAAGAATCAGTTGGAAAAGATACTTACGTTTGATTTCCAGCTTGGTCCCTGCGCCGAACGTGTACACACAGTGGTTCCTCTTACCTCCCTCCCATACAAAAACTGACTTTCCCTTCCTACCACTGAACAAGGCTGTGCTTGCAGCCTGCCAGTGGGCTCCCAGGAAACTTTTCAAACTAGTACTTAGAAAAGTTATTTGCACTAAATGACTGAATCTTGCTCTTTATAGAAAACATTCACTCAATTCTCAAAGCTTGTTTACAGACCTCCTCTTTTCCTGTGCTACTGAGGATGTCAGAACCTGGTTTAAGAGTCACTTAAGAAATCTTTTCACAGACACAGAGACCATGAGACACAGACAAAGAAAGAAGAGTTAGGGTTCCACTTACGTTTGATTTCCAGCTTGGTCCCAGCGCCGAACGTCCACCACAGTGATAGCTCTGCATTAACAGGCTGTACAAAATCCCCTCTCACTGAGAGGAACAGATGCTTGGCTCAGCTGCTACAGCGTAACCCCTCTCTAGAACAGCTGTGGCAGGCTCCGGACGTCTCTGACAGTGACTGTTTGTTTGCTTAGATGAGATCTAAAATTCTATAAAACGATAGTTGGTACGGATGATGGTCCCTTTCTTCAGCAACCTACCACATCTAGACTGCTTGCTACTTATTCACTTAAACTTAGGTTGAATTTAAGTTATAAAGGCAACAAGGCAAATTTAAAAAAATATTTCTTTATTCTCTCTTAGGGTGAGGGGTACAGGACTTTCACATATGATAAACTTTATTCAGTTATGATTATGAAAGTCACTAGCTTCTCTCAGATAATGTCTTTCTTCTCCTATGTGATGAATTGTTTCAAAAGGGGCAGATTAAGTATATATCAAATCATCACTCATATCTTTGCAGTGGATTTTGCAGTTGAGTTATGGGTTACATGTGGAGCAAGAAGAAGAAAGACAGAGGATAAAAGTGGACTTTACTTGGAGGATTGGCCTATTGTCACAGGACAAGTAGCACTGAGGTCTCACTGAGCTGAACAGGGTATGCAGTGTCTTTGGAGATACCAAGGAATCATGGCGTGCCCTGGCCTGCCTATAGTAACTTCATCAGAGTACTGAAGATCTTGTTTTGCTGTGAGTCCAGCTTCACTGGTTCCCTCTTAACCTTCAGTTCCACCCCTTTCCACACACTTCCCACAGTTCTACCCTGGCCTCCAGCTTTAACAAAACATTTCTGTGCTTGGAAACATTTTTGTTCACCTGGGTTAAATTATAATCAGCTAACTGCGCTTCAAGTTACAACTCAAGAGAGATTTTCTCTAGATTGTCCTCAAGCAGGTGAGTTGACTTTGAAGAGTACAAAGACAAGGTCAGTCAGTCTAGAGCACTCAGTTGCTCTCACCTGTTGTCAGAGTGTGTCTTCCTTACTGGTCTGTAAGCTGTTTTCTATTTTGCCTTTTATTTGAGAGGTGCAATCTGGTATCTTCACTTGACAAATGTGCAATAGACATTTGCAGAATAAATGAAAAAATGAATAATTGAAAATCAAAATAGACCAGATATGATAAATTATAATAGACTAAAGATTAATAGTGACCATTACATGGTAAGTTTTACAAGAGAAATTATAAATGTAATTATAAAGATTCAGAGTAGGTATGCTTATTCTGTCCCTAGGAGCTTTGCTAGTTTGCTTGAATAGAAGAATGAGTGGTGGATATCACCCGAAGATGAGGAAAAAAAGGAGGTAGGATGAGATAGAAGAGAGAAATTGGCAAGTGGAAATTAAATGTGCAAAATAACTGATGAAGCCCACAGTCGACATGGATCCTAAAAATTATTTTTCTCTTCAGAGATGTAAGCAATATCAATCATAAAAGTTGACATTTACTGAGCACTTACAAAATGCCAGATATTATATAGATTACCACGTTTAATCATTGCCAAGAGTCTGTGAATTAGAAACTAATATTTTCCTCTACTGTGTAATGAGAAAACTTGTGTGCACAGAGTTAAGATAACTGACTTATGACAATAAATGGCAGAGCTGGGATCTGAACTCAGAGCTCATGTATTTAGCAGGACGTCAGATTAGACATTGGGACTAAAGTCCCTTATCCTTGAGTTAAGAGAACACTGGGTGGGGAAATGCTCCTTACAGCATCCTGGAGTTGGAGATGAGTGTGTAAATGTGCCCAGATGTATGTATAAGGGTTCTGTTTAAAGTTCTGTTTAAAAAGTAAAAAATGTGAAAATAAAAAATGTTTATCAGTAGGAGTTTGGGTATGTGATATTTTGATAAAGCTTTATAATGACGCACAGAGCAGTCGAGGAGAAGTAGGTTTCTGCACAGTGACAGGAAAGAGTGAAAATGTAGGTCACTGAGCAGAATATCAAGTGTAATATCATGATCCAATTGAGATCAATTATATGTATATATAAATACAGACTCTTAAAACCTACTTAAACTGTGCTTAGCAATTATTTCCTAGGATTTCAGAGAATCAACAACACTTCCTCTTTCTATTGTGTGTTTAGTGTAGATTATTTGATTTTTAAAAATCATATGGATCCATTCATTTTAGGGTTTTCAGAAAAAATGTGTACTATTGAAAAACAATAAATTCCACCATTGATAACATTCACAATATCCACTTGCAATGTATAAATATAACTTTAAAATGAAACACACACATTTATGACAAGTCTTTTTATAAACTTTTTTTTCATCAAACAGAATGCAACAAAAGTAAGAAGATCTCTGGTTCTGTGTAGGAGGTAACCTTTTACACCTGGGGCTGGAGCATGTGTGTGGGAAAGGTGAGCTGGCTGTGGGAGGGACAAGTGAGTAAACTGGAGTTCTGAAATGAACAATCCAAGCAGATGACAATTGTAGAGCAGTCTTAGGCTGCACACAGTAATGACCGATAGGAATGGGGTTGTGATGCTGTACCATAAAATGGATTGCTGAGAACTGGTTGAAATCCTTAAGTTATTCCAGTCCCAGGAAGGCAAAAGATGTCTCAGAAGTATTTGTAAAGCTCTGCTAGGGTCAATGATTGCATAAAATGTTCACGATGGACATTGATAAGATTGGTTTTTCATGTTATTATTGGTTCAAAGTGTCAACAAGACAGTCTCGGGGGTTCTTAGATTCAATTCATGAGAAGATGGACTAAACTTGTGGGGAGCATCCCAAAAAACTCATCCCTGAAGTGGCTTCCAATCTGAACCGTCCTCCCTGCCCCCGTCAGGTTCTCAGAATAAATTCTACACTGCTTGTGGAGGGGGAGAGAAAGCCTAAGCACACATCTAAATCATACTGAGCACAGTATGATTAGCAGTGTTCCTCAGTGTTCCTCTAACAGTTCCAGAAACACTATTTTGACTTTTATTTGCCATAATTAGTCACCCTTTTTAAAGGTGAGGGGGGTGAGTTTGCTCTCATAGTAGTAACATACCAGGAATCACCCATTCCAGAAACAAAAGAGCACAATTTTGTTTTCTGCATGATATGAGGGATGGCGTCTTCCCTACCTGGCTTGGAAGGCTTTGTGTCCGATATCCATCTTGAAGTTGTAGTCTAATACTCTCTTTCCAGCCTGCCAGTCAAGGGGAGTCCAAAGTGACTCTGCTTCAGCTGAGCTTCTTGGACTGTGACATTGTCATTTCTACTGTATCTCATCTGATATTTCACGAGGACAGGAGAAAACTGTAGTCCACATCCAGCAATGCTGAGAATCAGGTCAGCTATCATTCTTCCAGATGGAGTGTCATAAAGCAGTATCTCTCCTGGGTCCCCAAGGAGTAAGGCTGGCCCCATTGCTCAGGAAGATAAAAGAGATCAGTTGAGAAAGAGCCGGTTCTTTACGTGCTCATGACTGTCTCCACTTATCCTTGAAGAAAAGTGTGCTAGTAGAAGCAAAGCCCTTTTTCAGCCATGTGCAAATGCATGTGCCATAAACATGGCTTGAGATTCTGTCCCACTCTGAAAGAAGCAGGTGCTCTGTGTTAAAGCTGCAGATATTTTTCTGCTTCCTTGAAAGAAGGAGACAACAGCCATTGAGTCAGTGTTGACTACACTTGAAGATTTACATACTTGGTGCTGTGGTTTCTGGCTCATGAGAGACCAGTGAAGCCCTTCAAGCTCTGCTGTTGAGCTCCTGCCCTCCTCCATTTTCCTGTGACATATTGTGTTGTTACTGCCATCCTAGTTTTGCTCCCTGGTTGATGTGAGGTGGAGTATATGTCTTAGATAGACTCATTGGATAGAATATTGGATGGGACTGTGGTGGGCAAGGTAGTCTGGCTTGGGGGTGCTATGTGTGAGCCCACGAAACCATTGTATTGGCAGTGTTGCAGTTTGTTTTATTACTATTTGCATTGCTATGGGTTGTTCTTTTTTGGTAAGACTAGCTAAGGATTTGTTTATTCTTTTGAATAGCTAGCTTTTTCTTTTTCTTTTTCTTTTTTTTTCTTTCTCTCTTTCTTCTTCTTCTTTTGTTTTTTGGTCTTTTTGAGACAGGGTCTTGCTATGCAGTTCAGGCTGGCCTTGGTCTCACTTTGTAACCCACGCTGATATCGAACTTGCAATGATCCACCTGCCTCAGCCTCCTGAGTGTCGGGATTACAGGAATGCACCACTATACCTGGCCAAATAACCAGCTTTTTGATTCGTTGATATTGGTATTGTTTTTTAGTCTCAATTTCATTAATGTCTGCTCTGACATTGTTAATCTACATCCTTGTACAGTATTAGCTTTAAATTTGGATTGTTATTGTTTTTCTAAGACCTGGAAGTACATTAGTAAATTATTTACTTCAGCTCTCTCTCTCTTTCACTCTCTCTCTCTTAATGTGGACATTCACAGTTATAAACTTCCTTCTTAGGACTGCTTTCATTGTGTCTCATAGGTTTTGGTATCTTGTACTGGTATTATTGTTGGGTTCTAGAAACTGTCTAATTTCTTTCTTGATTTCTTCTATGACTCATTGATCATTCAAGAATATATTATATAATTTCCATGTGTTTGCATAATTTTCATAGTTTTTTTGTCATTGACTTC